GAGGTGTTAGATCGGGGAAACGAGTATATACATTCAGGACTTCTTATCCCTTTTTACCACTCTCTGCTGATCCTAAATGGCCACTCACTTTTAGTGGTTCCAACCCTTAAAATCCTATCCTCTTTTCAGACCTCATGCATTCTCTTTTTCTCTTTCTCATTCTAGCAGTTTTGTGCAAAAACGTCGGAGAGAAAGGAGCGACACAGTTTCCCGCCACGAAGACAGTGATTCAGAAACTACAGGGAGGATGCGATGATTTGGTCTAGAGCTTATTTCGTGCTTATAAGACTCGTGTATATAATGAGTACCGCTTCCCCTTAAAAAAACAAAAACAAAAAACAAAAACAAAAACCGAAAGGAAAGGAAGCGGTTACAAATAAGAAGTCTTATAAGTACAGAGAAATCCCAAGGAAAGACATGGATCACCTAGAGGAGAGATGGAATCATTCACAGAGATCCCTACAGAAAAACCTAAGTCTGGGGGAATCGAAAAGACGAAAAGAAGTAAGGAGATGAGGTGTTTACAAGAAGAAGTGGTTGGAAAATGTGGATCTCAACAGATTCGTTCTCTCTTGCGGTTTTGCGACATATCCTGCATTCTCGAGACTTACGGTAACCCTAAACACATTAAACTCCACCACTAAACACCAAAAAGCCCCTTTCTTACCAAGCGCTGTCTACCCCGAATGACATCTTCTAATGAGAAAGGCTCACGCCACTTATTAATGAATGTAGAGAGTTAACTAACGTGATTTCAGAGTTCTCTTATAGGTTCGAGATGGAAGGATAAGGATGGTGAAAGTTTTGAGTCTATAGTAAGGATGTTCTAACGTGTTGTCTCTGTCTTTATGCGTCCGCATGATATCTTTTAGGACATGGTCTCTGATACTAAGAGAATTCCCAAGGTTTTTCCAACCTTTCCGCCGGCTAAGCTTTCTTGTTTGCTTGAGGACAAGCAAAGTCTAAGTCTGGGGGAGTTGATAACATCGTATTTTAGCCCACTTTTACTATGTTTTATTTAGGTTTTCCATGGAGAAAACAGGAGATATTGGAGATTTCAAGGATGTTTCCAAGTAATTATGCTTCAAGTATGAATAATGTGTTTTCAAGGAAAAAGGAGTAAAAGTCGATCAAATCCCGTTTCAAGACAGTTTCTGTCCCTCAGACGTATGGCGTCCGTTCGAGGTCTTCCCATTACCAAATCAAGAGATCTCGGTGGCTGTGGAAAGCTAGGAGAGTCTAGTTTCACCTTGCAGTGGATCTCGAGGTCCGTTCGAGGTCTTCCCTGAAGAGTGAAGACATGTCACGGACCGGCCAGACAGCCTTGTGTCTGGTCCGGCGCCTCTTGAAGCCCCCAGTCATGGAGCTCGCGTCCGAGCTGTTCTTCACGCCTTACCCCGGTCATGACAAGTCGTACCCTGTCCAAGAAACTCGCGCCTCACTTAACCTAATCCGTGGGAAATGATGGTTTTGCCCCTTGACCTAATCAAAGCCTATAAATACCGAGATAAGTTGAAGAAACCCTACGGCCTCCTTCACAGCTTTTTCACCGCGTCTCAGCCCGAGATCTCGCAGCGTCCATCGACGAGACTCTCAGCTCTCCTGGCTCCACCTCTTCGAAGCTCTTTCATCCCGAAGAAGTCGTCCTTTGAAGTTCTCTCTTTTACTCTTCATTGTTTTCTCTTCTACTCTTTCTTCTACTCTGTCTTTCAAGACTTTTGGGGAGACAAGTATCTTCTGTGACACTAGAGAAGTTTCCTTTGAACCCCCTTTGTTTATTCATATTCGTTTATTATGCTTTTCTACTTCAACTCCATGTCGTTTCTTAGCATCATGAACGAGTAGTTTTCTTCGTTGGGTTTTATGGGGTGATTCAAAGGGGATTCATGGTTAAAATCATATTAGGTTTATAGATCTGTTTATTTCATTCATACTAGATTCTTTTGGGACATCTTTTACTTAATGCATGTGTTTGGATTGATCACCAAACGCTGATCCAAGAGGTTAGGAGCTTTAATCGGGTAAACCTAATCTCGGACATAGTGTTACCAATCTTTCGTGTTGTTGCTTGCGTAAGTTGAGTAACAGGACTTAGAGTACTTAGCGAATCCAAACCTAATGCATCGATCTATGCGTCGTTGCCTGCATCAGTTGAGTAACGGAGTATAGGGAGATTTGCCGGCTTATTCTATAAGCTAGGATAACTCGTTCATTCGCCTTTCGTAGTTATGAACTAGAACGAAAACCTAGAAACCCTAGAGATCTAAACCCTAGTTAGTCGAGAACCATGATTCCCGGAGAAACCCCAGAATGCCCAACGCCTTAGTCATATTAGTTTACAACCGATTTATCATCTTAGCTTTCATTAGTTTACTTAGCTTTCATTTATTTGCTTTTTCATTTCATTGCATTAATTATTAGGAAACCCAAAACCAAAACCCAAAGTTTAGTTTTGTCTTAGCTAGATCTTTTCATTTGAATTCAATAACCCGTAGCTACATTCTCTGTGGGATCGATCCTTAAATACTACTCTGATTACTATGCACTTGCAATTTAACATGTAGTCTTTCAGGTAAAAGTTCTGAAGTGAAATTCTACGCACATCACCTATCCTCACTGTTACGCACTCAATCTTCTCTCGGCACTAGAGAGGTTTCCCATCCGCTACTTTTATGGAGAAGGAGTTCACCGGTATCATTCGCAGCTCTTATTCACGGGCTATCTTCTCGCTCACAAAATTGTGTGTGGATCCACTATCCACTAGCTCAGTCAACTCGTACTTACCGATTCGTGTGAGTAGACGGATTGTTTTTGGCGCATTCCACCCCGTTAACGCATAAACATAGATTTCCGGGTTGTCATCCTCATCCTTCTCTTTTCCCATCTCTTCTTCTTCTTCATCGTTTTCTCCCTCCATGATGGATAATTGCGGCTGTTTACACTTGTGTCGCGGTATAAATTTCTCATCGCAACTAAAGCACAACCCCAAGCCCCTCTTCTTCTTCAGCTCGTCCCATCTCAACCTTCTTGGTGCCCTTGTATCTATCGGCTTTGGCTCCGGTTCCTTGAAGTTACTGAATCGATTTGCCGGAGTTGTAGTCACAGACTTATACGGTGAATTGTTACTAAACTTTTTCTTTTGGCGTTGCATCTGTTCGTCCTTCAAACGAGCTAAGTTCAGCACTTCCTTAAGCGTCTTTGGTCTAAACATATGGACGCTATCTGCAATAGCCGGATTTATCCTCCTACGTAAGTGCCAATTAGAGCCTTTTGAGTCCACCCTTTCACTTTGTTTTGCAGCCTCTCAAATTCTCTTTGGTACTCATTTAAAGTCCCTGTCTGTTGTATTTTGGACAACGCCTCATCGAAATCATCACCATCGGTTGGTCCAAAACGGACCCAGAGCTCTTCTTCGAATATCGCCCATGTGATCTGAATCCCAGCTTCCCGTAAAGCCTTCGCCGTCGTTTGCCACCATTCGTTGGCCTCATCCTCAAAGTGATATGCCGCGAACTGAACCTTTTGCTCTACCGGTGTGTTGTTGTAGTCGAAGTACTGTTTGACCTTACTCATCCAAGTAGTTGGGTTTCCTCCTTTGAATCGAGGAAACTCAAGCTTCACGGATCTACCGGCTGTAGTTAGATTTGCGTTCTCTCCACGTGGTTGCAGCTGGTTATCTTGTCCTCCGCTTCGTAGGGTAGAACGTATGGCACTTCCATCTCCGACATCACGTCCCAGTGTTACCGCCTCAGTGAGTTTGCCTATGGCATCTTCAATGGCTTGGAACTTGCTGGTCACCCCTTTATCAATCTTCATGAGTTCTTCCTGTAGCTCACTAAGGTTTGTCTCCAAATCCTCGATTCTCTCCTTGTTACTCATGCTTGATACCAACGATATGGTCCAATTCAAGCTTTAATTATTTTCCTCGCTCTCACAAAATTTGCAGGGAAAACAAAAAAAATTGTCTCTGGTACCAATTGATAGGTCCCAATCAGAGTTTATAAGAACAATTGACACAAGAGTTTTGTTTGTAGTTAAATTCTACCTTCTTTATAAACTTTATTAATGTATATATAGGAAAACACAGAACTAACTTGCTATTAAAGATAACGATAAGCTCCTAAAGATAAACATAAATCCAAGTACTTAATCTCAACATGATTTGAGAATATCACGTTGGATTCTCAAAACCAACTCGACTCCACCGCCTAGCTAATGTACAGCGGGTTGGGCCTTCTTATGCGAATGGGCCGATTCTCAGTTGTAGGCCCATCATACAAAATGTATGGAGCACGCAGAAAGGCCAAGCAACATGCCCTAGAAGAAAATGAAAAGAAAAAAAAAGGTGTTAATTTATAGAGTAAGTGAGCTTTATCGCCAACGTTAAACTTCACTTCACAACGCACGAGATATAGTTTGTTGATATACAGGTTAATAGGTTATCTTTCTCCAGATTCTTCTGCAATAAGCGTAATGCATCATCTTAATCGGGTAATTTTTTATAGGAACATTTTGCAATTTTGGTAGTGCTAAAACAGTAAGAGATTCTATCCATCAATCACCTCGAAGGTGCAGATCAATGGGTGTATGCAGTGCCGGTTTAAACATATGATGAGAAGAATTATACCAAATTTAGCTCACAGAATCCATGTAACACGCTACTTAGGACGACATTCTGCAAGATCACAAATGAGTTTCAAGGCACCAATTATTTTTTTGTTTTGCCATCCATTTGTAGATGATATATAGAATTGCGTTTTAGTTGTGTCCTTTGAGCCTTGAACAAGGCAGACAAAAAATTACTCATAGAAATCTTATCTCAATCGGACACAACACTTTTTGAAAATCCTGGAAGCTTAACCACATTCTTAATAAACATAATAATAGGTATGTCTTAGAAAATGAAGTGGAACAATTAAACAAACCGACCCGGTTTTTTTTTTTTTTTAATTAACTAACTAATATCACTATAAATACTAATTAATTTTCCCAATTAAAAATCATGCCAAAACAAACACAACTCATATCAAAAATTTAAATTCAATTTATTATAATTTAACCAACATAAACCAACAAATTATCTAACAATTCTAACAACTTCTAATCCAAAATTCCATCATACCAAAAATATTAAACTAACACCAACGAGACCCTAGCTCATCCTCCTTTCTTCGCTATGATTCTACGATCACACTTTATCTTTACCTGCACCAAGAGAAGAGATGCATAAGTATTTCAATAAATACTTAGTGAGGCAATCCTCCCATCCACGAGCTATACACACAAGCAACTAAGATCACAAATCAACATATAATTCATGAAAATAAACCAAACCCAATGACAATCATCCAATAACACAACCATCTAACGGATTTCAATTCTGGATCCATCAAAAATCCAACATACACATCACAACAAACAATCACATAATCCCAATCGCTTAGATAAACTAACACCAACGAGACCCTAGATCATCCTCCTCTCCTCGCCATGATTTCACGATCACACTTTATCTTTACATGCACCAAGAAAAGAGATGCATAAGTATTTCAATAAATACTTAGTGAGGCAATCCTCCCATCTACGAGCTATACAAACAAGCAACTAAGATCATAAATCAACACATAAATCATGAAAATAAACCAAACCAATGACAATCATCCAATAACACAACAATCTAACGGATTTCAATTCAGGATCCATCAAAAATCCAACCTACATGTCACAACAAACAATCACAAAATCTCAATCGCTTAGATAAGCTCATTGTCACGCACTCACATCAGCTTAGGGATGATTTTTGAACAAAGAACAACACCACACAACCACAGTTGACTTTTTCCTCACGTCAACAGTATCTCAAATCACCTTGTAGCCAACCACAACAATCAAACATCAATTAAACCAAACTGTAAAATTCTGGGAAAATCACAGAATTGTCAGCCTGAAAGATTGAATCACGAAACGAGATCTAACCGTCCAATTTCAATTTCCACCATTGAAAAGCTTCCCCTAAGTGTACTGAAGCTACCCTCAAAATTTCGTGACGATTAGACAAAAGGATTCACTCGCGATCTTCCTTTGAATACATATTGGTCCAAATCGCGTCTGAAACAGAAAAACTCACGAAAACAGAGATAACTTAGAATATTGACTCAAATCAATATCCGTAAAAGGCCAAAACTAGATATAAGTCTTACCTACAATCTCTGAAATTTTCGTTACCTTTGGAAACGATTTGATACGTTGAAACTCTGTTCTACCAAAACGTGTCTGCTGTCTCTCTCTTCTTTCACCAAACTTTAACCTCTTCCTCTTCCACACACAACACTTAGCTCTCTTTTTCTTCTAGCACCACAACCAAACTCAGCTCTCTCTATTTCTATCACCACCACCGAACTCTCTCTCTTGCTCTAGATAGGCGACGGTAACAAAAAAAAGAGAACACGGTGTCGAGTCTTCTAGAGAAAGTAGGGTTTCTTAGTTTAAAAAGATTAAATCACGCTTATCTAAACCGAGAATTAAAACTATGTCTCGCTTTAATAATCCCATGTCGATCAGCCGGTTTAATAATCCAATTCATCTCCACCAACACAAAACAAAGTTTTAGTCAATAAACAATTCCAGAACCTTAACCATCGCCACCACCGTCCACTAATACACGTGACCACACTCCACTAATCGACTCATGTGATTCACGTAATTGAAGTAATCGATTCGGGCCTCAAAAATCTGAAGGCTTTTTTAATTAAATAGTTATATATTATATAAATTTTTTTTGCAAATTGTATTATTCAATAATATATTTTATAGTTTACAATTGTTATTAAGTAACGGTATATCACAAGATAATTTTTGTGTTATACAATTTACTTTAATCAGGATCATTCGATATGTCTAGTATTGGTGGTGTAAAAAAGTAACAAAATGAAGATTTAACCGTATTGAAGCAGCGGGTTAATGATGTTTTAAATTTTTTTGATTCAAACTTGTCCCGTCATACAACCCCGTCCTGCAATATAACTGTCCCATGTTATTTTAATTCTTTATATATGTTCAAATATTCTTATATTATAAACCTTTTATTGATTTTAAATATATGAATTATAATATTTAAAACTTCTTAAAAGCTCGTCCCGTTATATAACCTTGTCTATATATAACCTGTCTCGTGTTATTGTAACTCTTTATTTATGTTCAAATGTTCATAATATTATAACTTTTGTTGATTTTAAATATATGAATTATATTATTTTAAACTTTTAAAAATTTTAAAATTTAACATTTCCGGTAAAATTAAGCAGTAAACTAAAAACCGAATGAAATGGTATATAATTTTAAATTTGAATGCTTATTAAGTTGAGCTTCTTGTTCATTCGGATTTGGATTCATTTTGATCTTATTTATAATATGATTCTGAATCAATATCTAAATATTTTAGCCGATATGGGACGTTGACCACACACATTTTTCATCAATTGGGTAATATATATCCGTTTAAGAATTTTGAATCCCAATATACGTAGAAAAAAATTGAGATTTTTTAATTTTATGTATTATATGACGATTCAAAACAGTTAAAAAATATTCAAACAAAGATGATAGAAGAATTGTATTTTTAAATCTTAACCAAATCTTCTAAATATCTAAATTTTTAAATATGAAATATCCGTTTCATAATTTCGAATTTGTTTTGACCCGATCCAAAGAAGATATGAACTATCCGGTGTCAGATTTATGAAGGAAATGTTTTATCGGGTCGGATACCAAATTTGTCGGATAACAATTTAACCCATCCGCTAAAAATGTACATCAAAAATATTACTCCTTATGTTTCAAAATATAAGAGGTTTAAGGTAAATGCACACATATTAATATTATTTATTTTTCTTTTAAAAACATCATTTATATTTAATTAAAACAACATTCAACCAATCATAATAAAGACTGTAAAATATAAATTGTCACAAGTTGTCAAATGCGTTTAAATTAACATTGAAACTTGTAAAATATGAAACAAAATAAAATCCCCAAAACATTAATATAATGAAACAGAGAGAGTAGTATAGATTATAAATGTAACTTCTTTCTTTCTTTTTTTTTGTTAAAGGAGTATTCAAACGTTGGAAATGCTTATAAATTCATATACTGACAGTACTACAGTTTTCCTTTTGTTCGAACATGTTGATCCATTCCTTTTTTATTGTTACAACTAATTCTTTGACAATGAAATCGTAAAGGAGAATTTCGCCATGTTTTAAGTGCTTGTTTTTGGACAGTCGTGTCGGTGATAAATCATGTAGGTAACATAATTTTGATTTTCTTATATAGAGTGAATTAGTCAATTAAAGATGAATATATTTATTACAAACTTATTAGCCTGAGCATATGGGTAACTTGTTTGGGTTTGGGTAGACCTGTTCGGGTTCAGGTTAAATGGGTAATGAATTTACGACCCATTTGGGTAATCCTAAACATTTGGTTCCGGTCCGGTTCGGGTACACTCGGGTTCGGATCGGTCCGGGTAAAAACTTTTTGACCCTATAAATACCGAAAAATATGGGTACCCGTTTGGTTCGGGTATCTCTATACTATTAAAAGAGAAGTACAAATGAAAATGGGTCGGGTTAAAATCAGAAAATTGACCCGAAATTCTGAAATCGGATCTTTAAATTTTTTTTGGAATATAAATTCGAATTAATAATGAAAAATCGAATGAAAAATCAAATATTTATGGAAATCAAATAAAATCTTATTGTACTTATGGCAACTAATTATAAAAGCATATTCCGAACAATATTATACTTTAATTACGTATAATAAATTTGTTCATATATTTTGGAACTAATTCGATAACAATCAACGTTTTTATCATTAATTTCGCTCATTTTAGCCAATTATCATTAATTGAAAGATATCTTACTTGCTTCTAAAGATTTCTAGAAAATTTATCACACATAAGTAATACCCCATCTGTTTTATAAATTAAATAGATATTTTTATTTTGGTCGTGTAAATTAAATAAATATAAAATCCATGTAACTAATTTTAATTTAATTAGATTAAATCGAAATTATGGTATTTTCATACCTATAGCTTACCAAAGAAGTTTAATTTTCAATTTATAAAGATTTATTGAATATGATTTTAGAATTATTCAACAAGATGATAAGTATTTATTAAATTTTGTGAATCATGAAAAATAATAACTAATTTTTAATCATTATATTTCATCTTTCAATCTCTCATCTAACAAATAAGATACATATTCTATTATTCCTATGTCCAAACTTCATTTTGTTGTATGACTAAATAATATTCCCATTAGAGCTGTAAAAGCGAGTTGATTTCGCTCAACGTTTTTATCATTAATTTCGCTCATTTTAGCCAATTATCATTAATTGAAAAATATCTTACTTGCTTCTAAAGATTTCTAGAAAATTTATCACACATAAGTAATACCCCATCTGTTTTATAAATTAAATAGATATTTTTATTTTGGTCGTGTACATTAAATAGATATAAAATCCATGTAACTAATTTTAATTTAATTAGATTAAATCGAAATTATGGTATTTTCATACCTATAGCTTACCAAAGAAGTTTAATTTTCAATTTATAAAGATTTATTGAATATGATTTTAGAATTATTCAACAAGATGATAAGTATTTATTAAATTTTATGAATCATGAAAAATAATAACTAATTTTTAATCATTATATTTCATCTTTCAATCTCTCATCTAACAAATAAGATACATATTCTATTATTCCTATGTCCAAACTTCATTTTGTTGTATGACTAAATAATATTCCCATTAGAGCTGTCAAAGCGAGTTGATTCGTCCCGTTAAGCCCGTTTGCGATAGGCAAAAAATATTTTGACTTGTAGTTGTCGGTCTGCACGATCCGCGGGTAGCATATATGAAATACAAACCCGTCCCGCGAATGTATGCGGATTTGCGGGATTTTCCGTGGATTTTGTTTAAATAGTTTTAAAGTAACCAAAATTTAAAATACTACTAAAATAAATAAATAAATAAAAATACTATTATAGTTTGTTTAAATTACCACATGTTGAATAAATTATAATTTTATCCATAAATACTAACATGCGGGCTGATCCACCAATCCGAGGATGAAAACCGATTAAACCTAGGACCCACTGCGAATTAATCCATGTGGCCCGCTTATTTGCGTGTTTAATATATTTTCCCAAATCTACCCCATAGTAAGATGATTTGGGCTCGACCCGCGGTTTTTGACCTATTTTGACTGCTCTAATTCCTATGAATCGTCTAATTTTAGAATTTTAAAACAAAAAATTCTATTTTGTAAATCATAATTAATACGATGGGTTTATTTATAAAAAATTTAACATTTTCTCTACAATTCTTTATTATGAATATTTATAAGTATACTACACGATTTGCTCTACTAAAAACACACAATATTAAACTCAACGTATGTAAACCAATATTCCCCTGCGGTCCACCGCGGGTCCGATCCTAGTTTTGTATGTAAAATATCAGGTTTTGTACGTACAATATTGGGTATCCAAAAAAACCCATAAAAACTTGTTAGTATTTAATAAGTTTAATTATATCTGAATACATTTTGCTAAGTTTTGACAGACATAACAAATAATTTTTAAATAATTTGGTTGTTTTGGGTATTTAGGTCTAAAGTTAATTGACATATTTAGATTTATAATTGTTATTCTAAATAATTAAATTATATTAAAATTAAATATAATTAATATTTTTGATATTTAACTATATGTTCGGGTATTCGGGTATCCAGTTTGGGTAACGGATAAAATCTGGACCGACCCGATACCCACGGGTTTAGAAAAACTGTACCCAATAAGGTAATTTTCTCTAACCGGTATCCGTCCCAACCCGATTTTTTCGGTCCGGGTATCGGTTCGGATTTCGGATCCGGTTTTTTTGCCGAGGCCTACTTAATACCCATCTCTTGGAAAAAAACTAGATGAACAATAATTTGTTAAACATTACAATCAAATGCTCTCTTATATTTAAACTTTTTATTTCTTAAACATTTTAGAAATATTTTTTTTATAGAGTAACATGATATAGTCTTATAGATAATCAAGAATAACATGTTATCGGTACAAATAACTGAATAAGTGATATTTTATGTTTGTTAAGTAGAACAACACGTTATCATCATATTAAACATACATATTAATTTTAACAAAAAAAAAAACATACATATTTATTAAAAAAATTTAAACAATGAAATTTACAAAAGAACACTAGTTTATTTAAATAAAGTGATGAGATTGAAAGAAATATTTACTTATAAGAAAAGAGAAGAAGGAAAATTGTGAGAGGAAAAACATTTCAAAATGCAAGAAGGTTGAAGATGATTTGCAGCATTTTTATAATTTACCAAAAGGCCATCCACTTAATTATCCAAACAATTTATGTTAAAGTTTATAATTACTTTTAATTTGTGTCACATACTTTCCATCTAATTAACACGTTAATTTATCAAAAAATTTCGCTGTCTAGATCTCAATGCACCCTCTTCTCTGACAACCATAAAAAAGATGGTTGATGTGTACTAGACTTGGGCACGAAGAGGATATCCGGAAAATTTGGGATATTCGTTATTCGATTCGATTTAACCGAATACTTGATTTTGTGATTTGCTTTGATCCGAAAATTTCCGGATATTCGGAATATCGAA